TTTGGGTGTTAATTAAAAACATGTTTTTTTTAAACTAGTTATATGAGTGTTAAAAGAGTTAAATCCTTTAAGTAAAAAATGACACTGATCATGTGTTGTTTTAATATTTTAAAACACTAAGGATTTAGGACATTTTACGAGTTAAGTTGTTTGAGGTTGTTTTGTGTTGAGGTTAAAGTTGACTAAGTTTAGGAGAATGTATGTAAGGTTTTTCTAAGAACTTGAACTTCACAAGTTTAATTCTTAGACTTTTTAAAGAGGTTTTAGATAGATCGACTCTGGAGCTAAATGAAACATTTTTTCCTTTTAACTTCATAGAAGTGTTCTAATCCTTTCCTAAAGCAGAGATTTGAGTTATTGGGTTGTGATTTGAAGCTCAAGAGCTAAGAATTGAATGTTTAAGTTGTCGTGCAACAAGAGTTTGGAGAGTTGTGTTCTTTGTTGTTCTTCCTTTTTCATCTCCTTTTTGAGAGATTCGAGGTAAATGAAGCTTGTTGTTTAACTTTTGAGATAAATATGTTGAATTGTTGTGTTGAATTCATTCTTGAATCATGATTCATGTTGATTTTTAATAGTAGAATCTCAAGGGTTTAAGTTTTGAGGTTTCTTGGTGATTGGAGGAAATTGATGATCTTAGATCTTCTTGTTGATGCATGTTGTTCCTTTTGATGAATCTGAGGTGTTTATGATGTATATACATTGATTTTGAAAGTTGCATGTTGAATTGGTATGGATAAATGATTGAAATTGGTGAAAAAAGTTGAGTTATTTATGTTTAATGATGCATGTTCTTGATTTTATTGTATCTATTGTGGTTGCTCGCTTAGTGTGCCTGTGACACCCTTACTACCCTAATACATATATATTGTAATAATGTAAATAAACTAAAGAATAAAATTTTCAATGTTGCTAAAAGGGTTCACACAAAACCTTTATAATTGTTCTTCAATAACCAAAATAATTGAAAATAAAACTTGGAAAGTAAAAATTGGAAAGTAAAACTTAAGAGTTTATAAATTGTTTTCAGAAGAAAAGGTACAACTCCAAATACATAAAAATTCATATCCTAGAATTCTCTGTCCCGATGTCACAATATCAAATAGTTCAATTGTTGGCATTCTAGATGCCACTCAAAGCTAGGTCTTCCTCACCTAAATCATCCACAAATTGTACGGTGAAAAAAGAAAACATCCATATGTAAAATACACAAGGAAAATCCAACACATCATTTCATCATAACTCATTACTTTACAACCATCTCTATATATTCTAATTCTAACAATCAGGCATCAACTTCACATCACAAATTCACAATCATATCAATCCATTACAATTTTTGCAATTAACACTATCATTTTCACATTCATAATTCACACAAATCTTACAATTAACACTATGTCAAGGCCACGCCACAACTGACATAAGTGATATGGGTTAATTGCCTCACTCATCCCACACTATGCCAGGGGTACGCCGTCCTTGTAGCATCACTTACCCAAGGTTCGTCTCATCCCTGGTCATATGTGTGAGGAACCACAATCACATTCACAATCTAAAAAAATCTTACAATTAACCCTATGCCAAGGCCACGCCACATCTGACATAAATGATACGTGTTAATTTCCTCACTTATCCCACACTATGCCAGGGGCACGCCATCCCTGTAGCATCACTTACGCAAGGGTCGTCTCATCCCTAGTCATATGTGTGAGGAACCACAATCATATCACATCAACATCTCATTTCATGTCAACATACTCACGTCATGTTATCAATTCAATATTAAAATAGTAGATATAATGTATACATTTGTACGAAGGCAGCACACCGCATTCCATATCTAGATCATCAATTTTATCAAATAATGTAACAATATTATTTATAAATTAATATAAAACCTAATAGAATCATTAATTTAGTAGAATCTTAACTCAAATAGTAAAACCCCCCATTTTTTCCAAAACCTAACTCACAAGCACTTTTCTATAATTTCGTTATCTCTCCTAGATCATCATTTTTGCAAATTAAATATATATTTCTAATCCTCAATACATACAGAATTTAATGGGATCATCAATTCCTCAAACAGAAATAATTATAAAATTATCCATAATTCTAAGGGACTCTTTCTCTACCCAATTTCCTCATGTAACTTTGCATACAAATAATCCCCTTTTCCCCAGTACCTCGATAAGAAGTAGCTGAAACTAAAGCAGGATCTGGTTGGTCTCCTCCTCTAGGTTTCCCTCGGTCTTCAGAGAATGTAGAAGGAAAAGAAGTCAGAACTGAAAGAAGTCAAAAATGAAAGGTGTGCTTTTTGGGAGTGTCAGAGCGCTCTATTTATTGGCACCAGGAATGGTCAGAATGACCCGTTTCAAATTCGGAACGGCCCGTTCTGGACTCTTCGTCATGTGTAAAATTTCACATCTAGAACGGCCCGTTCTAAAACTAGAATGATCTGTTCTGGGGTTACATTTTAACCCATAACGGCCATGTTTGGAACGACCCATTTCCAACTAGGGTTATAGACCATTTTGGTGGTTTGGAATGGCCCGTTCTAGGCTACCAAAAATAGGTCTTTTTAGTAGTTTGGAACGACCCGTTCTAGTTTGGGAACGACCCGTTCTGGGCTACTAAATCACCTTTATTGGGCTTTGGGCCTTCGTATAATCTGTGAAAATTGGGCTGTTACATGCCCATGGGGCTCACTCAAGCAAGTTGGTGCAATTATTTTAGAGGCAATATTTGACTTGATTCACTTGGAGTGCTTACTTTGTCACTCTAAGTGAATTTCTCTCGCCCAAAGCAAGTTCTTAGTCATTTAAGGGATTTAACCTTGCCTTTTAAGTCTAGTCTCTATTTGAACTCGCTTAGAAAAAGTTGTGGAGTGCTTGAAACAAAATTTTTTCGCTCAGAATGGGTTTATCAAGGCTTGAAGTTGCAAGCTCTTTCGAGACTTGTAGTTTTTAAGTTATATTCTCTCTATGTTGTGTTAATGGATATATGAGGCATGTTGTTGTGTAGGGTTATGTTGTGATATGCATGAGGCATGTTATTGTGTTGAGCTGTGTTGTGACATGCAAGAGGCATGTGGTTGTGTTGAGTTGTATTGTGTTAATAAGATGTATGATGCATCTTGTTGAACTATGTTGTGATCTTAGGACTAAAGGAGATATGTTGTTTTATAAGTTAAAAAAATTTATTGTGTGGATATGAGTTGTGGTGTTTTGAAAAACCAAGTGTTGAAAAACCCTTTTTGAAATTAGTGTCTCTTGAAGTAGAGTGTTGAATCTCCTTTAATTCTTTAGTTGATGTTGTATAAGAGTCAGATTGAGCCACACTGGTTTAAAAGTGACCAATTTGAGCAAGTTATGAATTTAAGGGGTAAAATCTTTAATTGATTACTAAAAATGTGTGTGGTATCTCAAGGATAATTAGCGAACTATTCTCATATGTGACATGGTCAATGCATGCCAATGTCATGGCAAACCCACACCTAAGTAGGGGTGAAAAAAATAAACTAAATTTATAAAATTTGTACTAAATTTAAAAGTAGTTCATGTGAATTGAACTAAACTGCATATTAGTTCAGGCGAATTGAACTAAACTATTCTATTGTTTCGTTGAACTGAATTATACTACGAAAATTTGAACAGAACTATAATTTGAACTACACTGAATTGTTATGATGTTTTAAATTGAACAATTTTGACTATCAAGATGGGACACATTTGCAAACTTTATTTTATTTAAATTTTTCCTAGAAAAATATATGAAAAAATGAGTCAAACAAACTTGGTGGATTTCAAGCCTAAAAATTAATTGACCAACATAACCGAGTTGGTCTGCTGAGTCTATCAAAATTAACACATTTTTTAAGATCACTGTTTTTTTTTCAAGTATGGGTCGTTGAACTATCGAGCCAACTCCTTAAGACGAAATATGTTAGGCACATTTAATTTTTACACTTTCATAAAAATAGTTCGATTTTTTATAGTTCAGTTCATTTTAGTTTTCAAATAGTTCAATTCAGTTTAATTTTTTTAAATATTTTAATTTTTTTTTACAAATAGTTCAATTTTTTATAATGCAATTTAGTTCAGTTCACCACTGATTCAATTTAGTTTTTTCGTCCACTCCTAAACCTAAATTTTACTATACTTGATGATAGGTATTGAACTTTTTTAGTATAAGTGGTGAAATTTTATAAATCATGTAATGTTGAAAATGAATTGATATCTAACTTTGTTATTGATTTAACAAATAAGAAAAATAATACTATGTTGATTCAATAGGATCAAACCATTTAAATTAATTTATAGATTAATTAATTTAAGTGTCTTTATTGTTTGTTATAGATTTTTAAGATAAAAATAGAAGAAAATCAAAAGAACATAGGTGAAAGTTAAATAGAAGTATTTGAGAAACAAGGTGCTCGAGAGTGATTTGCAAAATTAGTTAAAAAACAAAAATGGGTAACAAAATGCAAAGATAAGATCATGCACATACTTTTACTAAATTTATTAAATCATTCATAATTTATATTTCATGCGTATTTATTACAAAATCATAAATCATAATTATTTATTGCTTTATAATACAAACCATTAATTATGTTTTTTAATGTTATATATTTTGTAGAAACAAGAGAAGCAAAATCTGTTTATGTCTTTTTCAAAAGAAAACTGAAAAAAAAGAAGAAAGAAAACGTCCTATTATTGCAGTTAAGTTTAACGACGTGGTGGGACCCACGTATCACGGTTGTCGTATGCCGCATAGCGCCATAGCGCACCCCACACATGTCCCACACCGTGAGCTGTCAACCAAGTTTCAATTTACTACTTCGTAACTACACATTAGTATTTCAGTATTAATTAATAAATTCATAAATTAATTACTAATCTCTATGGTCCCACTCCACCCCACAAGTCAGCCACCCCCAGTTTCGTTATTTTCTTTGAAAAACAAATTCTATAGCAAAACTAAAAAAAAGCAGATACACACACACTCCTCGCTCACTCTCTATAAATTCATCATTTCCCTGTCTTCCATCCATTGATCTCAAACGAACAGTCATACATAGCGGCGGCGCAGTTTTCTCTCTTTCTCACTTTTCGCGTTTGAATCTGAAACCGTTTTCAGGTTCGTTTCTGCAATCTGTGACTGTTGATTGCACAGAAGATCACCTGTTTGATGTGACTTCAAACGAATCTCTTCAGATCTGTTGTTGCATTTAAAATCGATTCACGTAGAAAAATTAAAATAACAATTGAACGCGGATCTTTCTTTATTTTATTGAGAATCTCCCGAAACGATGTCGCGTTCTCTCTCGCTCCCGACGCTTCCGACGGCGAGGACGACTCTGCCATGCGAAAACGAGAGCTCCGCGGTGTTCAACGCGCGGTGTGCGGCGAGGGTGACGAGGTTTTTCGGAACGCGGTTGCGTTCGAGCGGGAGGAGCCTCGGTTCGGGGCGGCTTCACGTTTGGCAAATGGAGGGGCCGGGTCGGGCGCCGAAGCTGAGGGTCGTGGTTCGCTCGGCTATGTCCGCCGTGCCGAACAAGCCGCTCGGCCTTTACGATCCGGCGATGGACAAGGACTCATGCGGCGTGGGATTCGTGGCGGAACTGTCCGGCGAAAGCAGCCGCAAAACGGTGAGTGCGATTTTGCCGTTTGCATGCGTGTGTTTGGTGCTGCGTTTTTGTAATAATAAGGTGTCGTTTATGTGTAGGTGACCGATGCTTTGGAGATGCTGGTGCGCATGACGCACAGAGGCGCTTGCGGGTGCGAAGCCAACACTGGTGATGGAGCTGGGATTATGGTTGCTCTTCCTCACCAGTTTTACAAGGAGGTACTCGTTTATTTTTTAATTTTCGCTGAGAACCTCTGATTTTATTTATTTATTTATTTACTTTCAACCTATTTCTCTTTCTATTTTTATCGATTACAGTACATTGTTTTTCACGTTTATTTTATCTTTTTGTTTTATATTTTTTCCTGTCTCTCTCTTTTTTTTTTATACTATTTTACCGTAAAAATGGATGTACCTTTACTATTATTTTTTTCAATTAGTTCCGTTAATAATATTTCACTCAATAGTAATTGTATTTTATGAGCTCGATTACTAATAATTCCATATATTTACTTTTTACTGTTTCTTTATTCCGAGAATCAATTTGTATTTTGTGGTTTTATCATCCCCTCTATTTAAAATATTTCAATTTATTGTTTATTGATTTTTTTATTCGAAAAAAAAGATGTTTACTGCGTTCGTGTACTTATGCTTTCGTGCGTTTTCAAGATTCGGCGCCGCCGTGAGCTATATTCGCTTTTTTTTTTTTTTTTTTTTTTTTTT